ATTTTCTTATCTCTCAAAACCATTTTGATTTTGATTTTGCTTTCGTCTCGAAAATTATATCTTGAAAAGTTATCTCCATTTTTCCCCTAATAGAACACGAAACTTTTATGAGCGATTACATAAAAAAATTAATGTTCTTTAGCATTCCAGGTGCCTTGCAGTTTGCGAAGAGTGAGGGTAAATAGCAATGAGTTAAGGCTGCTTTCTTCGGTGCTACTGGTGAAGAAAAAGTAGCGGAGGTCAACTCGTTACCAACATCTTCCATGGAACCCCTGCTTCGTTAACTTTACCTCAAAAGATTCGTTACTCAATTGACAAAATAATTTTTTGGCAAACTGCTTCTCTCGCAGCTTCCCTCCAAAATCTGGTGCGAATTACTCTCTAATGCGTTAAACTCTTATCAAAATCTGGAATTCACTTTTTCTTACTGCCACTCAGTATTTGCATGTTCGTTGGTGAAATCCCAAAAGTAGATAGTTTGTAAATAAGTGTAAGTAACAATAAGTTAATTTTGTTTGATTCAGATTTCTTTATTTTATTGATTGAATAAATGGTAACAAAAAGAGAGTCAAAACACATTAAGTTCAAAAAGCAAACCTTTTTGAAACAGTTCTGGATATAATCTGCTGCTGAAGTATAGTCGTTATCACCTGAAGCAAACCTTTTGAAACATTAAGCATCTGTAATCAAAAAATGTTATTACCATTATAATTGTTAAAGTAATCTGCCAATTGTGTATGCGACAATTTCGCCTTAAACAGGTCGACCTTATTTAAGAATAAAATGAAGGAGCAAGTTTTGAGAAACTCGTTTTTCACGATATCGTTAAACAGATCAATGCTGTCCATAAGGCGATTCTAAAATGAAATACGCCGATAAATGAAATGACGAAATTTGAAAGATTTGTAAATCCTTACTTTTGGAGGGTTGTTGTGAGAAACTTGCGGTCGTATAACTGTATGGTAAGGTTTATGCCCTGCAGCAACTACCTGTAATTAAAGGCTCCTAAGGGAACTCCTGATTGCTTAACAGATAAACTTTACCTGCACAATCTTCATGTCTTCCTCCATAATTTGATCAAAACTACTTAATGACGCGACAAACATTACTGCTGTAAC